ATGGTTACCGGGAGTCAAGGACAGAACAATGGCATGTGAAATGGAACTGCTATTGAAAAGTACTCTAATGGATTTGGAATTGTTTAAAACTAAATTAGAATACTCTGGCAGTAAACCACTCAAGATTGCCCCGCTTCTCATAAATTTACAAATATTACTAATAAGAGGATCTGGCAATGAATAGCCTGAAAACCAGATCCATGATTCAAAAATAAAATTCCACAAGCGGGGGAGGATTTGCTAAAGCATTACCCCTGGAATGGTTTCCTGGAGGAAAGCAGGGAATTCACTCCATGGAGTGACTTCACATTCCAACCCCCACAAGCCTCCGCAGAGCCCTGCCCCAGAAACCCCTAGAAACATGGAGATTGGGAGGTGAGGTCTCCTATAGACAGCGGTGAGAGTTCATTTTCCATTTTGCAAACTAATTTTGTTCTTGTCAGTTGCAATGCTCTGCCAAGTGGTGGATGGGAATTTCTAAATCAAAAACCGCTAACCTCAAACCACAACCAGCCTGTGTCAAACTTCAGAAACTACTCCAAAACCAGAACGTATGGTAATAATACTATAACTATTTGTAAAATACTGCCAGGTTTGTCACGTTTAGAAAATTCGTAGCACATTTTTGGCACATAATCTATTCTGAATAATGGTGATAAAGATGTATATATAAAAATGTATGTTTTTAATGGCCCTATCTATTTTATTGATGCGTGACAGTAAGTTAGCTAAATCTCCATCATCAATCTGTTGGGCTCAGGTAGAGTTTAGATCCCTGCAAAGCCAGTTGTTTAGGTCTTTTAATCCAATTATGCTAAAAGTCTTCAAAATTTATATAAAAATGCTATAGACTTCTTCATTGTCATGGGTGTGTGTGTGTGTATGTGTGTGTTGTATGTGTGTGTTTTACCTACTCCAGCTGAGACACCTTATTTCACTGGGAAAAAAATCCTGAAATATTTTAAGATTTATGAAGTCGAAAGCACCTCTGACAACTTGTGAGAGTTGTTTCGCTACTTGCATTGCTTCAACGTGAACCAATAACCCGAGGGAATCTCAAACCTTCACTGGAATTTAAAGCTGGAGTCTTAACCTCCAGGTCCCAGGATCTGAAAGAGTTGCCAGGAGCCTTGACAGGAGATTAGGACCAGGACAGGGCCAAGACATGATAACGACATCCAGGCTGAGGGGGTAAGAAAGAAAACTCTTAGCTCAGGAACTGATGGGGTTAGGGGAAAGCCAGCTAAAGGTAAACTTCTGGCAAAGATGGCAATGGTGGGGAGGGATTATTCAGCAAGAGATGAGCCTCCCTCAGGAAGTTAAGTAGGGGCTACTCGTGTGGAAACCCAGCTGTCTTTGCCCATAATTGCACCCAGGCTGGTACACACAGCCCTGCCAATCACAGGACCACACCACTGGCCTTGTGGAACTGCCTTTCGTCCGGCACCAGCCAGGCCTTGCAGCACCGCCTGCTGCACAGAGGACCCCAGGGCTTGGCTCTAACAGGCCATGTTGCCACATCCCAGATTGGTGTTTACCTCTACTTGCCATAGAAGTTTCTAACTGTGTTCCACTGTGCCCCTGGTGTGCTCAGCATCCCTTTATTGACCTTCAGATGTTTCCCAGGCTCCATAAAGTCCAGTCCAGATATTCTTTTTTGGTTTTGTCTTTTTGTGTTATTTTTTGGTCTCCTAATTCAATTCTCATACCCCCTCACCATTGTGCAACTTTTCATCATGGAAAAGATGATTCACTGGGTATTTTCATTTAACACTCATGCAGCCCTTTGGTAGCTGGCCGCCATGCTAGGGAATGCTTTCAACCGACGCAACGTGGCGTGGGAGAAAGCACAGAGTCTCAGACCTGGTTCAGTCCTGACTCAACCACTTTCCAGCTGGGTGGCCTTGAGCAAGTGATTTCACCTTGCTGAGCCTCAGTTTGCTCCTCTTCAACATGGGCCTGACAGTGCACGTGGTAGATGGTAGGCTGTGGATGAAGGAGATCGTGTATGCGAACCGTTAGCACAGGGCCATGTGACGGTTCACCCTCGCGTCACCTTCCTCCCCTGCCTTTCTCTTTTCACTCACCTCCCCTACACCTCAAAACAGGTCTCTCCCAGACTCTCTTTGTTTCATCTTGTCTCAGAGAAAGAGGAAAACCTACACCTCCCCAAGGCAAACTGCTGCATTTCTGCCCTCCATCCTGCCCTGCCCTTGCTCTTGTCTTTAACTCTCCCCTTCCTCTAGCTTCTTACCGGAGACTACGGATATGATCAAGTTTCTTTCATCCTAAAAAGAAAAACCTTCCCCCGAATTGCTTCCCCATAATGTTTTTCAAACTATCTTATGATCAAAAGCTCATATATACCCCTTTGCCCGAGATAGCCTGGAACTTTATGAAGAGGGGATGGTTAGAAGGATGAGTGTAATCTTGGGGGAGGCCAGTTGGGGCACCACTGCATCAGGGTGGCCCCTTTCATCCAGGCAGAACCCCGCACTCTGCCAGAGACATGATGCTAATACTTGTAAGACTTGCAGCATCATTTCATCTCTTGTCAAATGTCTAAATACTCTCAAAAATTCCATCAGATTCTCAGAGTTGTTGTCTGACTTAAATCCCAGGGAACTGTGGTTTCATTCACCTCTTTTATATACATTATTGACTTCACTTTTGTGTCTAGAGCTCTGGACAGCTTAATCCTAATTCTTTGCGATTATCATCCCACTTCTCTGTCACTCGCAGAGGCAGGAAGTGGATAGTGTACTGTAAAAATATCTGAGTAAAGGGAGAGTAGTCATTTACATTTCTGACACATCCCTCCTATTAGAAAGCTTTGCTTTATTCCTAATTGAGACTAAGGTTTCCATCCCTGGATCTCTGTGGTACTCATTTACAGCCCATCTTTTCTTGTTCTTTCAGCTTTCTCTGCCCTTACTCTCCCACATAAACTCGTAACCAGAGATAAATTGATTGCCTCTTTGTTTGGCAAACATGGCTTGTGGCTTCCCACTTGCACGCCCCGTACACCAATGTCACCTTCCCTCCTCGCTGCCTGTCAACATACTTCCCATTGCGTCCCTCAGGAAGTCTGCTGTGACTGCTCACAACAGAAAGTATGTCCTTTCTCCTCCTGAACTTTTTTGGTGTTTCCAGCTGAACCATGGATCTGCGACCTTGTAACAGCTCTTTCTTATCTCGTTGACCTGTTTCATGATCTGACGTGGTGTGTGCGTATTTTGTCTCCGAATTAGCCTGCAAGATTCTGATGCATAGAGATCATCTCTTCTTCCCGCCCTCTGCCATCCCCAGCATAGCCCTTGACAGTCATCACTCCATGTGGCCCTTTTTCTGTTCCCCAAGTCGCATCCTGCTCAAACTGACTTTCACTTTATTTCTGACTACTTTTCCACAATGCAAAAAAAAAATTTTAATTCTCTCTGTATCATTGGAAAACCTCCTCCCTCCAGACTTGGTTTCAGATGTGTCTTAATAAGCCTATTGGTTATTCCTTCTTCTAGTCATTAATCAGTAAGTCCAAGAATATCATAAATTCAACATCCACTGAATGCAGGACCCTGAATCAAGTGTTTGCATTAAAGATTACAGAAAATTTGGAAGTTGTGGTACCCAAAGAGCAAAACTTTATAAAATCACTTAACACCAAACAATATAAATAGTGCAAGCTGATATAATGAGAAAGGATTAGGGCTTTACAGAAGAGCCATGAGAATGAATTGTGCTTAATTGGGAAAAACTGTCTTGGAACAGGTCATTCGAACCCAAAGTTTGAAGAAAAAAGAGAGCCCACGTGGTCCAGAAGAGCGGGGCTCATGCCTGTTTTGTTCGCCCGCCTGCTGTAGTGCCTGGTCTGTGTAGACATGCAGTTCATGTCGATTGAATAAATTAATAGCCAAGTGCTGAAAATCCCATGTGGAGAGACCAGCTCATGCAAAAAGAGCAAGCACATTATGCTTGGGAAGAGCAGATTTATTTTCCCAGGTAGAGCCAAGAAATTACGTGCAAAATGATGGAAAGGAAGGACAAAAGAAAAATGACGAGTGGCATCGAAGGTCTTGCCAGGACTTGGGTTTTAACAGCTAGTAACAAACTCTTTATTATCCATTCATCTGTTTATTCTCCAATTATTTATTAAGCATCTACTGAGTGCCAAGGCACTATGCTAAGAACTGGAGTTTCCGTAGGGAGCAAAACACAGTCTCTGCCTTGAAGGATCATGCAGCCTTTTCATTATGAACTCGTAAGTGGTGACACATACTTATGACCCTGGTTTATTGTTATTCTAACAGTATTTAGTACAAGAGAGCAATTTGTCCAGGCTCAGCCATAGATGGCTCCGGCAGAGAATAAGAGGCCTTAGTTAAAATGAGCTCCAATATAAAATACGTCACAATAACAGATGATTTGAAGGCAGCAAAGAGGGTTTAGAATTTAAGGAAGAACTTCCTGCCTGGAAGATTGTCTGGGATTACAGAATGGCCGATTGAGTAGCTGTGGAACCAGCCTGAGTTTATTTACGGGCCATGCAGCGGCCCAGGCCTGCCAGTTTCCTTGGCTTTGGGTCTAAATGATGAGCTAAAAGGGGGAAAAAAAAAAAAGAGGATGTTCACATTGATTTTTTTCTTTTGGGTTATCCAGATTACCTTGCTCTTTGACATATGTTTCTAGAGCCATGGCTGGAATAGATTTTATTAGCGACCAAAAACAGAAATAGTTTTTTATTTATTATTTAGAAATAGACCTCTGAGGGTCAGATGACACAGAGTAAATTAATTTTAGAGCAGATGTGGAAATGAATGAAATCTTGGAGCAGTCCTTCCAACAACAGTGTTTAATGAGTAGACATTGGTTGGTTTATATCTGACATCTTATGAATTCTAAGATCACTGCCTGTGACTAGAAGATTTGGGCTTCATTTTCCATTTATCTCATTTTTTTTTCTTTTTCTCTTTTCTTTCTTTCTTTTTTTTTTTTTCCTCCAGGATGATGGCCTCCCAGAAAATGAGCATCAGCTGTCAGTAGCTGGAAAGATAAAGAAGCATTTCAACACAGGCCCCAAGCCGAATAGCACAGCAGCTGGAGTTTCTGTCATAGCAGTAAGCATCTGAAATATCCACCTATAACTTTTAAAAGCAACCCGCCTAAGAGACAGGCATTACTCAGGAGATTCCACCCAGAGACAGCAGAATGGGTCATTTCTTTAGACAGCTCCACCACTTAATGCACTAGAGGAGGTACGGGGCTTATATATATTATGTGTTTTTGCGGATCATTTCCCTGGGCATCACATCATTATCCAACACCTCCAGGGTGTCTTACAGTATATATTAATTTCATGATTTATTTTTTAAAGCAGAAAACCTCCCCCGCTGGACTGTGGTGCCAGTGCAAACTTTTTGGCTCTAAGGAAAAGAGTTTATAGTGTCCTTTTGCCAGGACCTAGAAGGAGAGGGAAACTGAGAGAGACAACATTGCAGAGAGAGATTGGGACACTACAGATCTTTATGCTAGACCTAAATGAAAGCTAAAGCATAGCAGAAAGCTTACACAGTAAGATTTTCAGTGAAATCGAATTGCTGTGAACACCCAACTAAGTCATGATGTCTTTCTCCTTAGAAATTTCTGTTCTTAAAGTTGAAAGTCTTTTAACATTTACCATTTTATTGATGCAGCTGCACAAGATTTTTTTTTTTTTCTGTTCTATACATGCAGGCATACACTCCATGCAATTTGATAGCAGCTCTAGGCAAAGATTAAATTGGGCCAAGGAATAATGAAACCTCATACTTCCTGGTGTCATATTCTAGAGTAAATATATTCAAGTGCCTGATTACTTGAATTTTTAATAATTTCTTCTTTCTTCAGAGTATGGAAATTTTAACAGCATATTCAATGTGAAAATCACTTGAGCTATTGTTCTTTTCTAAACAAAGAACTTAAGACACTATGATGTGGTCTTGTTCAAAAGTATTTATGCTATTCGACAGTACCTCTCACTCATGAGCAGTACTGAATATATAATTACTTCTATGGGTGTTTTTATTTTCTTTCTCTTTATCTTTTTTGTTTGTGCTAGAGCTTCAGATGAAGCTAAAGATAAATAAGTGACCTATTTGATACCACCGATCCCAGATCTGGGTTACTACATATTTGATATGGGCTTCCAGAATTTGTAAATGGTACAAATGCATGCATACAGGCTGTTGTACTGTTTGCATTTCATGTTTCTCAACTCTTTCAATAGCGAGTTACATGCGTGTGAGTAACTGGCACATGAGTAAACTGACGGTGCTAAGCAGAACGTATACGCTTTCAGATGTTCCTCAGTGCCACTGAGGTTTTAAAATTTCAAGTTGTTCTTCTTGCCCTCTCTCTTTAGTTGTTTCTAAGAAAATTCAGTGTAGAAGTAAATTGTCCTCCATGTCTTCCACAGATGATCAATGTTCTTTGTTATGAGCTGATAGTAATTTTTGAAAGTAACAATCTCATGGTGATTCTCAACTAAACCAGACATTCTGTTTTCGTTGTTCATTCAAGAGATAAGTCTATTCCAAAACGTTTGATTCAACAGTTTTCTTTTGGAATGGACTGCCAGCACGCTTGTCCATGAAAAGGACTGCTAAGGGCTTGCAGCTGCTAGAGAGGATGCCTTTCCACCTCTGTCATTTTGTTTTTGTTTTCTTTTTTCCTGGTCTTTTATTTTAATGAGTCTTTGGTTAAGTTTGCCTTGGTTGCTCAATATTGGTTTGTTCACAGTATTCTGGGAGTCTTATAATGACTAAGAGCAGGAACGTCAGGGCAATTTTCCAATTGACAGTTAATACATATTTGAGGGGAAATCCTATTTTAATCAAACTTGGATAAATTCCAAAACCTAATCCATACAACTTTATTGAAACCTCATCTAAGTGGATCTCAAAACACTCCAGTTAGTAT